TAAATCAAAATTGAAATAAATCAGTTATTTGTAAAATTGGTACAATTTTGTTCAACTTTTAATATTATAGACACGCAGGAATTTACTTGAATTAATCACAAGTTGACGAAATTAAAATGACGAATAGATTAACTGAGATCTCTAAATAAATAAAGTCATGTAATTGTAAAAAATTAAAATAGAAAATCTATTATGGCTAATATTATGTAGGTGTGTAATGTTTCCAAAATAGTTTAAAAATACGTGATACTCAGATAACATTTATGTTGCATAAGATATATGTATAAAAGACGCCTGCAAGTTATTTGAATTTTTTTATAAATCAAGGCATTTAAATGTTTTAGACTTAAGAGTAAATTATTTAATATATCTCGCTTTCAAGAAAAATTGCAGCGCAGCGAACAATAACATAAATTAAAAAATGAAAAATTGTTTAGAAGAGAGAGGAAAGAGAATTTTGTATTTAATAATTAATTATTTATTACGATAGTATTAAAGTATTATAAGTTAACTTACAGCTAATTAAAAACTGCTTGCTTTAAATTCTTTAAAAGTAATGTAGATATTAATTTTGTAATGGTGTGTTACGTTAAAATTTCTTTAAAAACTATCTCTATTTTGATTTATGTCACTTTTCTTTCGGATCTCGTTTTCGTGTGATTTAATGATTTTCTTAAAAAAAGCTTGTAGAATGTATCAATTAGATTCATGGATAATGCACAGAACAGCATTTTAGTCAAGAAACACCCATACTATACGTACATCTTTATACAATAATAAAATCTTCCAACAATTTAATTGTAAAAATATGATGATATATATTTTTCTATTTGGATAAAAAATTAAGTTTATTAAATTGTTTTACGTTCTATTTCGAATCCAAAATGCATGAAGCATTTAATACGCGCTTCAGAATGGTTTTAAGTAAAATATTTCATATATAGAAGGTGTTATTTTCTTTCGGCGATAAGGTATTCTTTAAAAATGCACAATTTCAGACGCTACTGGCCGACGCTCATTAATTTTTCGCGCTCGTCCTAAGCTCATCTCGCACACGCGTTAAGACTCGTTAGGACCTTGAGCGCCCAACGAGGCGAACTCGCGCGAACGGGAATCGCTCGCTCGCGCGAGCAACCCCATAAATATTGTAGCGACGCGAGCCGCAGGGGAGTTTTCTGACTCGTTGGCGCTAATGCGGAGCCGCACCCGCCTGCCTCTGAAGCCCGTACCGAAGGTCTGCCCTTTGCCCATTTTTGAAAACCCCACGAAACCGGGGCTAAATATAAGTTTTACGCGGTCCCCTTCGTAAATGACATTGACAATTTGCTAACGAACAAAGTTTTGACCTTAATAGTAATACCTTTGTCGTCCAAAAATCTACGACGTGTATTAACACAAATATAATAGAAATATAAATTAAATACTTTATTTTATTTTCTTATTAATATTTATTACATAATATATTAATTAATGATATCTGTTTTACATATTACACAAATAAGATGCATTTTCTGACGATAAAAGGATTAGAAATACGACTAGTTGAAACAGAATTACATATATTTCTTTAAAGTTTTATAAAACTATAAAATATGTTACAATTAGTGCGACGTGATCAAATTTTAGAAGTGTCACATCGAAAATTATTCTTGTATTACGTATATTTAAATTGTTTGAGTGAAAACGTGTTAATCTCGATATGACTGATAATTTATATATAATATACTAATAGCAAATCGATACAACTTTCTTTTTAACGATTCAACTGCTGCGTCGTGTCTTGTTGCATCGGATTGCACCGTATTGATACTCGAAAGCGAGACAAAGTGCACGAGCGGATATATCTCGAATCGTCGGCGAAGCGAATCGGCTTAAGTGAAAATCGCTCGTCGGTTTGCAAACCCGTAAATATTGTAGTGGCGAAGCCGCGGGTGGCCGAACCAGGAAGAGAGGAAGAAAAAAAGAAGTAACGGAAGAAAGAAAGAGAAACTGTGGGGAAGGTGGCAAGGAGGGGATGCGAGTGGGACGAAGTTTTTTTCCGACTGACTGTCGTCTCGGTGCAGCGGCGTTAACACGTGCCTTCTTGCCCCCCTGAAGTGGTCCGTGCGATATGGCGGAAGAATCGATTGCACACGAAGAGAGACCCGCGGAGAAGAAACGCTTAAACCTCCTTCAGTCACTTCGTCCAGTTTTGAGCAAAGCTTTCTCTCGTTCTTTCTTCCTTTCTGTCAATCAGACCTCTCGCTCGTTTTCTCTTCCGGAAGTGTACGCAGTTATTAGTCCCGCACATTTTTTCGTACCGACTGACCATTGCGTTATGATCAATAAAGCGTTTCAAATACTTTACAACAGCGTTTTCTTCCGGATTCGACTAACGCTACCGATAATTGTTTACTTTGAAGGTTTCTCGAGATACAGTGAAAAAATAGGGATAATGCGAGAATATGCACGCGCTAATATATATAGCAAATTAAATAGAATATCGATATTTACGCTTATGTTTTAAACATATATTGCTATTCAACGTATTAGATATTTTATTTAAAGTATTACGTGAACAAAGTTTTTTTACGAAAACCACATTAGGTATTGAAATTACTGAAACTGAAAGAAAATATTATATTATGGTAAGATTTTTTTATTTTACGTTGAATGTGATATTTTTTTACATTACTTGAATGATATCAAAATAATATTGCGAACATTATAATTTTGTGCCAATAGTAGACGGTGAATAATTGAATATTTAATTGTTCAAGTAAAATTAAAATAAATGATGCGTTTCGTAAAAACGTTATGCGTCTAAATAGATTAAAATAAATATCGTAAAGAAAATATATACTACGATTAAGATTATTCGATTGAGTGATTTTTTTCTAGCAATCGGAGGAGGACTTCGGTAAATCCGAGCAGCGGGGTTGCTCGGTCAGAAGAGCAAATATACGAGAATGGCGGAAAGGAATGGACAACATTCAGAGCGTACTCGCCACGACCTTTCCGCCAAGAGATATTTCAGGATGAATAGATCGCTTCCGATCAACTTCAATGTATGCATGTAGAGGCTGTATCAAAAATTGCAGCCTTCTTATCGCTTGAAAAGAGCTAAACGTTTCTGTAATAAAAATTAAACGGAGAGACAAAAGTGACAACATTAATTTTCAGTATCAAAATCTTATTGTTTATACTGTTAAATTTTGATAGAGTAAATCTGGAAAATGTATTTTTTTTAAATAAATTTTATAGTTATTAATTAATATTAATATCATGATTGTTTTTTGTTGTAATTGTAAAATAAGGCTGTAAATAAAATATTATATATGGTTCATGCTGTATATGCAAGAGTTCAGTTCTTCTATACATATATAATATATTCTTTATTTTTTCTTTCTTGAATACTGTCATGGCGTTTGAAATGTGACAAAATCGCATAGTAAGATTTGGAAATTTTGTTGCAAATATATTATTATTGCAAAAATTTATAGTATTGCTAATATACATTTTATAATACTTTATCGACTATACGTTCAGTGCAACAAAGTATATCAAATGTCTCTATAATAACTTTTAACAATTAATAATTACTGTAATTTCTTAAATGAAAAAAATTCCATTAAGTGTTATTGATTTTGTATCATTCATTAAATATTTTGTAATTAATCTTTGTATAAAATTAAAGTAATCAATTAAAGTGAGATTTATTATAAATTGATAAAGTTTATTTCATTTGTTAGCAGTTTAAACTTAATTTATAAATATATATAAAAATTTATAAATTCTTAATTGCTTAATACAGAAATTATTTTCATCTTAGCATGTACACTGCTGAAAAACTGGCTTGGATTAAATCCTTTTTCTATATATATTAAAAATATATAATTTCTTCTAAATAAAGAAAAAAGTAAAATGCATCTAAAGTTATAATTAATATTATAATTCATATCTTATATATCGCTGCATGAATTTTAAAAATCACGGTTTTTACGTTTATCCCTTGAATTTGCCTCGCGATAAATTAAAATAACACTAATTCATGACTTTTTCTAATTTCAGGATTTCTTTCCTGAAAGATTAGTTATATCGTAAATGGAAGCTGCGAACGTAACTTCAGCTACGCATTTGTGCGTTTTTGGTTCCATCATCGGTAGGAATACATAGGTAGCCATTATGTCGAATTTAGTATTGTGATTGTGTAACCGATGTGATGTGACTCCATTATAAAGTACGTCCGCGCGAGCGCTGCATTATGTTTCCGAAATAGCATTCGGTTATAATCGTCCGCTCCCTCTCTTTTTTTTCCACTGCTTTTCTATTCCCGTTCTGTTTCTCTCATTGGCAGTATGCGCCAACATTTGGCGTTTCAAGAAGAGGGACAGAGATATATGAAAAATTGTATACCGGTTTTGCGCGACAGAAGGCGCACGACCGTAAATGCGTTCTATTAAAGCTCAAGTGTAATCACATCTCGATGAAAATATTCTGAGCGTTTTGAGCGGAATTGTTTGAAGATATTGTCTTTCAATGCATAAAGTAATTAATAATTCTTTACCATCGAACAGTACATTTTAAAGAAGCAATATTTAAAGAAGACTTAATCAAATTATATAAGATTTAAACTCCATAATTAATATTGTTTCTACTACTGGCTATTTTTTTCTCTGTCAATTTTATTATTGCCTTTTTTGAAAATATCTATTTATATGTCTATATACGGGACAAGTATAAAAAACTAGAGAGAAACGGAAGTATTATAATAGAAGATGAAAGAAGAAATATATAGATGAGATAAAAATTTTATATTTTAGGTATAAACACCTAAAAGGTGATTCTTGGCGCGTACAATCGATGTTAACGAAGGAAGTTCACCGAATACGAGATCAGAGTACAAATTTGGAAGTTGCCGATTCAGTTCCATCGATGTGATCATGATTTTTGAAAAATATATATAGTTTGATCGAGACGATTCTTTAGTATAAAAAGTGGATAGGAGGAGATAAGGAAAAATGGTAAAGGAGGTAAAGAAATGGGGGTGGAGTATAAAAGCGAGCCAACATCACCACCACCAACTACCATTACCGCCCAACACGGCGGTACGATATTCCGGTGGCTTCCATCCTCCCCATCGCCGACGCTCGCCATCATACAATTTATTGGTAAACTTTGCTAGCTTGTTAGAGGGTTACGTGCGCTGGGATAAGAAATATCCAGAGTGGTATCTGCCTCCCTCCCTCCCCCCCTCCCCCGCTACCAGCATCCTCTCGCGCCCTCCTCTGGCTCCTTATACGCTCCTATACACGTCGCCGTCGCTTTCGTGTTATCACCATTCTTCGGCTGTGCACCATAGCACCAGCAGTATTGCCGGCACCAGCACGAACATCAGTATCAGCGGCGACAGCAGCAGCAGCAGCAACAGCAACAGCAGCTCCAGCGGCAGTGCCGACCCCCTTGGTTATAGGGTTAGAATACCAGGGTTGCCTCCATCGTGCCACTGGTCTGCACCACTGCCTTCGACGCTCTGCCAACCACTACCAGCAGCCAACCTCTGCCACCTTGCCCTCTCCCTACACTCTCCCCTGTGTCTTCGTCCTTCGCCAGCTGCCTCCCCCTCTCCTCCCTCTCACCCACCCTCCCCCCTCCCCCGGGGGCAGACTCCGCCGAGAATATGAATATCATACGTTGCCTCTGGATTCGCCGTTCCGCCTTCCCACGTACCCGTTCCGTCTCGAACGGAAAGTGCGGAGCACGTCGAAACGCGCGGGAACGAGCGAACGAACTCGCGGATTAAGTCTCGGGTAAGTCGGAGGTCGAAGATCTCCGACCTGAAATTCGGATCTCCCGACCTCGCAGGCGGAGCGAATTTTCGGTAACGATACCTCGCGGGTGTACCGCACTGCACGCTTGTCCCTATTCTCTCTTTGAACTTCGAAGATATGGAGCTGACTCGAGAGACTGGAGAGACTTGTATCCAAAGTACCATTTACCAAGAGTTACATTGAATCGAAGTTATACTAAGTTAGATGCAGAAATAGGGACTTAGAAAGGAAGTTATGTAGCGTTCAGTGAAAGATTAAATTAACAGTAACGCATATAATATTATGAATTCACATTTCAAATATACTAGATTTTGAGACATTTATCTTATGAGATCAATTGATTGAAAATTGAAAAACTGCATAAAGTATATCAATGATCATTATTCAATGTGTTTCATATTTTTAAAAAGATGTTTGTGATATAAAAAGGTATATTTGTCTCTTCCACCCTTACATACGATAAGTCTTCACGGGTAATCAGGGATTACGTTAATTTTCGGCACATTATCCTAAGGCTTTCATTACTTCATCAACAGCTGCAATGCGGCAGTATTCCTCGCGAGATAGAAACAAAACGCAGATTTGCGCGTAGCATGTGCACGCTCCTCTGAAAGGAGGCTGAGTGTTGAGGATACGTTTGCGAGTTTTCCTCTGCCAGTTGTCTGTGCACTTGTACGTACTACTCGGCGTTTGTGTGTATACCGGGGCAAATCTCGATGAGTCGGTGAGCAAGAGAGAGAGAGAGAGAGAGAGAAGAGAAACGGTGCCGGGGACAACAATCATAACAATCTAGTTAAACGTTATAAGGATATCTCGCGTTAAGAGGCGTGCCAAGCGTTGCATAAAATCAAATTGTACGCCGAGCCGAGAAGTTATTGTCGTTCCTCATACCTCCTTTCCCCCTTTAAGTCCCTCGTCGCCTCCACCCAACTTGTGCCGTCGCCGAAAATTTACCCGAGAATCCTCCACCTCCATCTCCGGAATTTCCCCCGCATCCCTCCAGCAACCTTCTTTCGGGGCTTTACCGGTGCGGTGTGGGAAGGGGGGGGAGGGCACATTCGCCCCCGTGAATCTTTCCACCCTCGACAAACGCAATTTTTTGCGCTCTGCATTTGTCAAGGATCTTGAATAAATTTCGAGAAAATGTGTTCGCGTGGTATCGCCGGTTGTTTGAGCCATCTTGAGTTACGTGATTAAGACGTAATAGCGATGAGAACAAACAATATGTACTCATGCTGTTTTTGTAACATTCACAATTTCTGAAAAATTAACAAATATTATGATGTTTATTATATACTTATATTACATAGAACAAAGATTAAAATTATACAAATTGTTTTTAAGGAATAAATATGATTTATTATCGTGAATCATTCCGCGCGCGAATAATTGCAATAACGCCGAAAATAGGTACACTTCGTGCCGCACACAGAGAAACCATACGAATGATTATTAAACCCACGGACTTCGCGGAACGTGGGTGGAATTAGTCATGCGCGGGAGAATTCGTAATAGAGCTTTCGTTGCCGTCAACAATATCGGATAATTACGCCTCTGTCGGGCGATCCTCGAAATAGAGTAATGGAGAACCGGCAAAATCGGCTTGAGGGGGTTAAATTGAAATTGAAATCACTTGAAATTACTTGCAGCCTCGTCGGTGATGGCGAAAGCCATCGTCGCCGGCGACATCCCGTTTCGGAAATCGAATATTGCACTTTCAACACACCAATGATTTCGCGCATATTGCACATCTGTAAAAACATCTGTAAAAGGTGACCGACGTTTAGAATTATATATTATCAAAATTCGATCCGTCTTATCAAATTTACTGAATTTTTCCTACTTTCAGAACTTATTGTGTACATTTTGTATAAATATAATCAAAGTTTTTTGCTTTTCAGAATAATTATAGATAACGTGTATAAAAATCTTTTATCTTCAAGTTTATTGTAAGCATGTGAAGTAGTGTATTGTAAATTTTCGTTTAAAATATATCCCTTGGGAGAAAATACAATTGTATATAATTGTACTTATATGTATAATATTTTTACATATATTAATACAATTAAACTACAATAAAATTTGCAATACACTTTTTTACATGTAGTATGATGTTTTTATTCTTTTTAAAACTTTTAGAGATGTTCCGTTTTTTTCTCTTAATTGCTCCTAAATTAGTCCTAAATTTTTATGTGCAAAATTACCGAGAGATATATAAATACAAATTATCGAAATATTAAATGCTTTTCGTGAATGCAATCAGAACATTTCTCGCGTGCTTGAAATTGTCGGAATTCCCACCAGCACGGCGACGAAAACGATGATGGAAAAAAAGGCGCGGGATTTGCCATAAAAAATGCTAAAGCGGCTGGGAAAAAGGGCGTTAACGACGTCTTCGTTAAGGGATACCCGCGGGGCAGAGTTAAAACGGTGAGGAATCAAAAGATCGATTAGAATCGGTCGTCACCGCGGGATTTCTCGTGCACTTCGAAGGGAGAAGTCTTGCTCTCGCGACAGGGAACGCGAGATCAGGATATGAGGGCTGTGTTTGTAAGAAATGCGAAGGGAAAGGAAGAAAAGGTGGCGCGAGAGCCACTCTCTGTTGTTCGACTTTTCACTTTGCCATTTTCGAGGGAAACGACGATGTCCATCCTCTTTCTTTTCAGCAGAAATTCAATATTTTGGCTATCGAGTTTCTTATGGCAAGGGAAAAGCGCCGTTTTTCTCTTTCCTTCTCTCATTTTATTTGTGCTGAAAGAAAGCAGATAACTTTAGAATTATTCGGTATTGAATCAAAAGATGGTAAACTAATGCGTGACCGTTTTCCTTGCGACTGAAAATTAATTGTAATGAATGATCCTTCAAAGAGAAAATAAATTTTAAATTTATTCCAAAACAAAATCATTTAAAATAAAGGATAATTTCAAAAACGAAAGGACATCCCAAAAGTTGTACAGTTTACTAATTTCTCATTTTATTGAATTGCTTTTGACTCATTTCCGCAGCTATCTCGGCCTACAATCTGCATTCCCACGTGAATCTCGGAATTAAATAGAAAGATTATCTCGTGATATTCGTGCAGAGTCTCGGTACAAGGTATAAGGAGAAAAAGAAGAGAGAGGAGAAGGAGAAGCCCAGAGTCCCACGGGCGCAAACAGGGACAAGAAACAGGAGCTCGCCTGCTGTGGCTAACAGCAAGGTAGGCGTGGCGGGAAAACATGCCGTCACAATGTTAGTTCAACTACACGACAATTATCGTCGGCGAGCTTTATAATTAAGAGGCCTTACCCTGGCCTTACCCGCGGCCAGGCATTTATATCTAGCATCTCCAGTGTGTGTATCCCGCAGCGACGATCCCGTCGGCGTGGAGCGACGCGACTTGGACGAACTATGTGCGATGAACTATGGCTATCGGCGCTTCTTTCCGCGTGTGGAAGCTGCACAACTGGTTACTGTAACCGGTATATACGCATTCTCTCTCAACGTGGCTCTTTCCTCATTGACGACGACCACGTACTGCGGTATTGTGACGCGACGATCGGAATCGGAAAGGTAAGCATTTAAAACCGGAATTCGGTGTATCGATGGAATGATTGTTTTCGTCGAAAGATTATTCGAACAATAATCTAAGATTTTTAATTTAAGATTTGATGACAATATGTTAATGTTAATATAGTGGAATTAAACATAATTATATTTGATAAAATGTAATTACGTAAACATACATACATCTACTTTTCTGTATTGAATAATAATATTGTAAAAGGTAATATTATATTTGTACATATACACATATATATTTATATATATTGTATATAGAAAGAAAGTTAAATTTATTTATTAATATAATATTAAGTAAAATATAAAATTAATTATACACACATTCATTTTGTACTATTTTATTCAAGGATGTTCTTGTTCATTTTACCGTGATGTGAAAACGTCTTAATGTCATATACATATTTTAGTATTTTTTTATAATAATCATTATTTTGGTTTTAAAATATCATATTAATATCTTTTTAAATAGAAAAACAAAATCTTAATTAATTAATTAATTAACAGGTTTATGTTGTAATAACATTTCGTTCAGAATAAATACAATTGTTACGACAAAAGCAGTTATAGACGGATACGCGATGGCGAATCTAAGGAAAACGGTTATAGAAAAGTAGGGAAACGCAGAGAAATTTTGTAGCAAATCTCCGGAATACGCAGCAGGGTTGCTGGTGGTCGTCTATTGAAATTTCACCGAGCGATACAATGTAATTCGGTTCAGGGTCATCGTGCAACACGTTGACGTGCTCTAATGCGCCCTTAACGAACCCCTTAATCCAATTTTGTACAAAGTAACGAAATTATGTGCTGGCTGACCGGAAGCCACGGCGGTGAGCTTTCAAGCTTCTCTCTCATTCGGCCCCTCTCGAGTGACTGCTATTCAAACCACTCGAGAACCCAAACGAATGTGTTTGGTCTGATCCTATTCTATTTCACTGTGATCTCCCATGAATACGTCACTTTAACGCAGTGTGTCAATTCATTAAAACGTAGCTTCAAGAATAAGAGCTAATAAAAGAGATAACAGTGTCATATTTGAAGAAAAAAAATTCGTTGACAGAGAAGAAATTTTTCTTTTGTAATTGATTCATCTTCAAAATATTAAACTGTATATAAAATGTATATTAAAAAAATCTTCAAATCAGATTTGTGCTTGTGTTAATATATGTGTAATAATTTATGTTTATAGTTACAACTGATTTATTCATTCAGAAAAGCAGAAAAATGGTAATCTTTTTACTTGATAGACGAACAGATTGACATTAGTCCGATGACAAATTCGTATAACGTGCGGAACGCGTTCTTAACTGCGAACGCGGAGATCTGTTTAACAGTCATGGGGTTCGGCCATATGTGGTCCTACGCGACACCAAGGAGGATTATCATCGGGGAGATCCGTTATCTCGGTGGCACGCGTTTCCGCGTGGAATCTCTCGCTTCTTCTCGCTCAATTCTCCGTCACTCTCATATAATCTCTCTCTCTTTCTCTCTCTCTCTCTCTCTCTCTCTCTCTCTCTCTCTCTCTCTCTCTCTCTCGTTTCCCCTATCTCGTGCCAGTCCTGCTTTATGGTCGGTACGTGATAATAGAGATGTCATCCTGTCGGTGCTTTGACAACCCCATAACGCCGGCGTTCGCGTAGCCTGTCTGTAACACGGCGTTGTGCTCCCCAGAGATCTTGGAAACTGTCGTTGTACTCACCGCAGTTTTACGCCAGGCTATTTTCAACGACTTTTCTCATTTTGTCATATCGCATGGTCCAAAAAATATTGTGATCGGGTACAAAGGGCAAATCACGTACGCTCCCGTATGCGTTAATACGTTTTTAAATTTGCGCCAACTGGTTTGTTTTTATTCCACACTCGTCCATATTGCGTTAATGTGTTCTGGTAATTAAGTTTTAAATTAAAAAATTTTAATTAAAAAGTTGGTTATAAAATTTAATTATATGATATTTTGTTTTGGTGTATCAAATTGTTTATGAAAAAAAATGATAGTTTAAAGAAAATACCGGATATGTTTCATCGTACCGCGAGGATCGTAACGTAAGATATGAATTTCAGGCAGGATTATTTATGAGAACTAACGTGCGATGATCAGGATGATCGACACGCGCGAGCCAAGTATTTAAGATCGTTGGATAACGGAGTCACGTGCGGGTAGGATCTGGCAGAACATTTATTGAGAGCACTCTCCTCTGTCTCGCCCTTCATCGCGTCGACAGCGGCGCGATGTATTGCTTTTTGAAGGACTTTAAAAGCTGCCTTATCGGATTGTCGCCACCGAATGAATCGCGTCGCGCAGCGAGCATGTATGCGTGTCCGTCGTTTTGGGCACGGTCACTTTTCCTCTTCGCTGTACCTTTTAATCTGAATGAATACTCGCCCAGAGTTGCTATTTGATCACGATGCTATGTATTTCATCGCTACATATCGATATAACGACGAATCGTGTGCGTGTAGAATATAGAATACCAGGTATTTATTACATTTAATATCGAGCTATAAAAAATGATAATTTATATAATAGTAGGCTCAACCGATTAAGTTTTACGAGATATCTGTACGCGCTTCTCGTTTTGAAATTCGTATAACTTGGACCCTAATTAAAATTTTTTAATTAGAATATTGTATATATGATATTTAGGGTTAAAAAGAATTATGTTGAAACCCTAGTCAGCGATAGAATGGAATGTCTGGAAAAAAGGTATAAAAATTGAAAGTAAAAGTAAAAAAAGTAAACAAGCTCTGCTTTTTTTTAGAAGTATTCAAGTAATACAAAGTACATAATTTTGTCTACCCCTTTTAATTAGAAATTTTAATTAAAATATTTATAAGAATTTAAATAAAAAGACGTGTAAAGTTTTTCTGGGACTTAATCAATAGTAATTATATTTCAAAATAAGTGCTATTTAATTAGAGTTACATGTACAAAAAGTATCGAATTCACAATTCATCTTGATTAAAGTTTCTTGTATTCTTTTTTTGGAGGGTAAAAAGGAAGAGGTTAAATTATAATTTCTTTGAAATAAGTACATAATAAATTATACAAATAAAAAAAATCTATGTATAAAGGTTTTATCAAAAAAATATTTGAATAGGAATTTACTCGTAGACTTTGAAAATTATTTATACACAAATATTACAAAAAAAGATTGCAAAATTTTGCCTGATTCTTTGTATTATTATATCTTTTGCGTACCTATAATTAAAGTATTTTATATAATTGATATCTTATAATTATAACCGAGATAATGTAATCGTTGCATTGTACATGGTTGTAATTACAAGGTAAAATGCTCTCTGCCTATTATCGTATTTTTTCGGGTTCACCGCGATTTCGAAAATTTGATAAGGTTCAATCCACAGCATGCTCGTGTCTCGCGTACATATATATATACACACACACAAGTGTATATATACACACACATTTATATACATGTATAAATACGTATGCACACCGGACGATATTACAAAATTATCGCAACGTCAATGTTATCGGCGCCGTCCGTGCAGAGTGGAGCACATAGATACACGAAGCGATACGCTCCTCATGGCATAATGGAGCCGATCGGATGGCGGGACCCCCGCGTGAAACGCGAGTTCCTCATAGAATAGATCTGACCCCCTCCTCCCTTTTCGTCCCCCATAGGACCAACGGTGTTCGAGATAATGCGATAACGAGCTTTACTACATGACTATCGTCGCTGCGCGGATTTGTTGCCGCGATCGATTTACGCTGGCATCCACCGAAAATAAATAGCCCCAACCCGGTAAAATTTATTAAACGCCGTTACACAACCGCCTTCTTGCACATTAACCCCTTAACGTCACATTTTTTTCGTGAATAAACACAAAAGATTCATTTACATTTTCTGAGAGAAAAGAAGAAGCCTATTTCTTATGATTGATTTTATTGCTTTTCGTTAATCTTACAATTAGTTGTAATTATAATTCTAAAAAGTAAAATGAAATGGCACAAATTAAGCAATGGTTGAAACTGAAAAATGCGAATGCATCTTTGAACGTGTAATGATACAAGTATTATAATTTGTATTTTCAAAAAAATGTAATTATTTCTTTGTTTATTTAATATTTAATGTGTTGTAAGTTAAATTTAATTTAATTTAAATCTATTATATTAGAATTAAAAATATATAATAGATATTTCGTATTTTTACTGACATTAAAATAATTTGTGTACTTTGTTCATGGTATAGGTATAATACACTTCAATAGCATGGTTTCGCTCTTCTGTATTTTATCTCATTTGCTTTTAAATTTCTCTAATTCATAACGTTGCACATAAAATTGCAGAATGCGTGTGTTAAGCGTCTCCGAAATGACGAAAGCAAAGTGGAGCAATCTATGAAACGCGTTAAGTATGCTCACTCCCCTGCGAGGAGCGTATATTGGTTGGCGCTACCTTGCGAGAAATCGCGGTGCCCCGCGTTTTGTAATGACCTCATTGTCGTGCTAGCGCGTCGACAACGCCCTCCGCCATTGTCGCTTCCTGAGAACGTTTGACTTCGCCGGTGATTGCAGGGTGAATTTCTCGGGAGTTTGCTGCATTGTCGCGCGAGAATATGAAGGGAGGCGCTTTGCGGCCACGCGGGAGGGATGCCTTGGTTATAGTTCCTTCTCGTCTTTCTCCCTCCCTTCCCAATCTCTCTTTCTCTTTCCTCTCGCGGGCCCCCAGTGCAATGCGCGTAGTTCAACGGGCCTGAGCAACCTTTCCTGAGAAGATTTCAAATTATAGGTTCCAGAAACGGCATCCCCGTCGTGGACCGTGTAACCCCCCCGTCGTGCCATCATGGAAACACGCGCGAGGCACCCCGTCTTGGTGGCGGACTATATCGCTTCCTTTTCTTCTGTTTTCTTTTTTTCTTTTTTTTTTGTTCTACTTTGCGATTTCTCTCGTGATATCTTTCTAAACTTAATTCTGTCGTTTGAAGAACGCGAAAGAAACGCGGTTCATGTGAAGAATTATTATCTAA